ATTTTTTTTTCTGTTCTTGAGAAAAAGATTTTTTCCTTGATATTTCTATATGTAAAATGTTGATCCTCCATTACATGAAGACGCTTTCATATAAATTTGACTAATCACAGCTTTGTTGTTCACGAGAAGAAGATTCCTATGTATTCCTATGTCCAAGTCAGCTTTGTCGGTTAAATTCTATGGAGGGAAAATAGTTTCATGGTAGTCATAATGAGTACTGGTGCATATATTCATTCAAAAAATTGGTAATTGTATCATTTTTAAACCTTTGATTAGTTAAAAATATTTATAGTTGACTGTAAAATCACATATTTCCGTTAGATCAAATTTTCAAGAATTGAGGAAAATTTATGGTATGCGAGGATTTGATTTCGTGGTTGGAAAACGTTTGGTAGTAATGCATATATAAAAGTTTATATTCCATGGTGGTCATAAATTCAGGGGTCCCTCCATACCTCGAAAACAACGAAAATTAGCCCCACGAAAATTAATAATTTCACAGTATGTGCATCATATTTCAGTTGTATTGAAACTTGCTGGATTTTAGTAGACCAGTTAGCCATGCGTCTTTCAACTCTTCCTAATCCTTTACAACCACATGCTACTTCTCACCTTAATATAGAGTGTTACATGATATGATCAGGATGTTGAAAGATATGATGTTAATACTTATAGGATTCATGAGAAGAAATCCTGTATTATGACTTGTTGGAGTGCAATATTACATCAGGCCAATGTAATCAGTGTCGAACACAGACGCCAAGGATTGTTGTGTGTTCTTTGGGATAAGCATCAGTTCATACCAGTGTCCAGAAATACTCTATTTTCGTGTTGACGTGTCGCTATCTGAGTTTTTTCTTCATCCCAAATACCAGGGCCAAAAATACTGGAATAACATTACACAAGTAAACAGCATTCACAGGCGTTCTTTTTCAAGCAAGGCTCATTAAGAAATAAATATATCATCTTTACTTTGCTCACGTAAATAACAGGTGAAACAAATTGAAAAGAAATTAATTGTGTAACCTAGAAACGCGTAAATGAAAAGAATCTGTTTTATGTTTGTAAATGTGGCGAAACTATTGGCATAAGAAGTTTTGAGCTATACGGAGGTTCTAATAATTTCAAGTGTTGGTTATATGTTGACATTTGAACACAAGTATTTCGATGGTTATGCATCACGCAAAGAATCCATTTCTACTCTAAATCATGCAAATTATCTTTTAGCAACTTGAATTCCCCAAATCTCTTTTAATTTGACTCCCCATAAAAGAAAAAGAAGAATATGAATTTCATAGAGGAGTTAGACCTTGAGGTATAGATATTGAATCACTGACATCATTTCTTAAATGATTTTTAAACTAAAATATTTTTTTCATCATTTGGCAGATCTAGTTTTAAGTTTACCGGTTATTAGACTTAGGCAAGTAAGTGAAGTTTGAAGAGATTGAAAACTTTTCTTCAATAGCTTTGTTATGCTAACATTTATCTTTTTCTCATGCGTTTGCTAAATTTGCAACATGTTTTGTTTGTTTGTTAAAGGAATCAAGATTTTTGGTTGTTTTCCTTTGAATTTTGATTTTTTGTTTGTGTTTGTTTCAATCTGTGTTTGTTTAGTCAGCTAACAGAATTTAAAAATGTATTGTTCTATTTTTGGATACTTCTAATGAAAAAAAATACCACAATAAAAGAGACAGGTATCAATAGCACCTGTTATACGGGAAACCTACAAAACACTATTGTTTTTATCAAGCAGACAACATGCCTTTATTTACGGAGATATTTCTGGAGTTGTCATATGCTTTCTGCAAACACGATGCTGCTTGCGCAATTGATCTTCTCATTTTCATTGTTGCGTGTTTTTCTTACGAAAGATTTTTAAACTGATACCACATTGAATTAAATTTATTGAAGATCAGATTGTCTAACTATGAGAAAATGACAGTTATGCGTATTGTTTTGATGATGATGATGATGATGATAATGAAAGGGAAGGAGAAGAAGAGGACAGACAACGAAGGTGGAGGAGGAGGAGAAGAAAAAGCACGAGTACGAGTAAATAAAAGAAATAATTCTGTCTTGAAAGAAATGACGTAAAATCTGTAATGACATGAACGTATTTAAAAGCATGGATGTTTTCCAGTTTTTCCTAAGCATGTTCCTTAATTGTAAAGTGAGTTTCCCATATAAAATTTACAGAATGCAAGTCTTTGAATGCACATTCAAAGCAGGATCGGGAAATGAAAGAATTAATCCGTATAACATATAATATATAACATATAAAGATGTTGAGCTTTTTTGTCTTAGAAAAAGGCATTTTTCCCAGACAGAATACAGAAAATTCTATTCTACTTGAGCTTCCTTCAATTTTATAACATGGGCTGTTCCCTTGTAATAATTTTCCGTGACTGCTTTGAGAACACAAGCACTATAGTACTCACATTTTATGACAAGCCCAACGATATGGGCAATTCAAAGATGTTCTGGAAACAACAAAACTACTTGTATTCTGATTGAAGCACTCTAGTTGTAACAAGATGACATGTGATAATACAACAAGTAGAAATATGATTCATGTGTTACTCTTCTTTCCCGAATATTCTGGTAAATTGGAGATAAAACATCAGTTAGATATTATAACGATTAAACAAGGATAATTTGAGAGGGAAAATGCTGCAACGGGCGTTAATTTACTTTTAAGTAATGTTAAATATTTACCAAATGTATGTGCTGTTATCAAATGCAAATGCTATTATAGCAGATTGAACGGCTGCTTTATGCCAGTGGCCTGTTCTGTGTTCTATGAAAAACAAACCAAATGCAGATTGGGACGTTAACATGCTATTCTGACAAATAAACTTAAATCCTGCAAAGCCCAGACTTCTTTTTTAACGATTCCATGTTGTTGTGCATTTGTAATGATCTATTTCAGCAACGTTTACAATAGCAATGCTTAACAATAGCAATGCTTAAATTAGGATCTGACACTGCGTCCAGGGCATCACTATGCATGTATTTTGCTATTTACATTTTGATGGTAAGTCTAATAAATGTAAAATTGATCAAAACATGTTTTGAATATACATATACAAATAAATAACATTGCAATCATTTGAAGTGTAAAATGTCAAAATGCATGTGAGTGAATAGTAAACTGACATATTGCCTAGACGCATGGAGGATATCTTAATGTTATTAGAACTAGACAAAATATGATTTCAGGTGCTTTTTATTACAACTGTCTGTTTAGATTTTGGAGAAAAAAAAATCCTAACTGGCTTTGTCGTAAAACACTTAGATTTGTTCACATATGAAGACATGAATTAGTAGAAATAATCGAATTCAATATTCACTCACATGCCCAAGGGAATTCAGAATCAATAAGAGAAAAAATATCCCCTGTGGACCGAATATGTTCACATTGAGGTCATTGTTTTGATTGGCTAATTTCAATTCATTGTAGGATGAATGGCCTAGCTTATAATCAGTCAACCTTTAATCGCTCAGAAGTTTTAAAGCAATTGTCATTGTCTTTGTATTAACCATAGTTGCAACTTTTAACTAGACATTGATGATTCTGTAACATCAACTTATTGGTCATTAAACTGCCCACTTAATTGATTTATTATACACAGAACATGCACTTGCGTATGTTTTGTTGATTGCAACATTTCACGAGCTATAAGAATTTTTGCTTAACCAATTGCTTTTGTTTTATATTTTCACCTTTTTATGTAAAAGTTTTTTTTGAAAATTAAACGATCCTTTTAAAGCAAAAAAAAAAAAAAAAAAAAACATTTAACGATTTTTGCACAGCACGGGCTTTTATCAGCCGATTCCTTTAAGCACTCAGTTTCTGATTGAAACACACTAGATGTAACAAGATTGCATTAGATTATATAGCAAAAGAACTTATGATTCATGAACAACAAGATTTTCGATAACTGGATGAGCTCACTTAAGAATTTTGAAAGGCTCAGCAGTTAATTGTTCCAAAATATCAAAGCATGTGAGGAATATTTCAACTAAGCCCTAAATGTTTAATAATTTCCAAATGCAAAAGTTGCAATACCAGGTTAATAATTAGCTTTAAGTAAATTAATATCCTGAACTGCTGTAGCAGCTCCTTAGTTCCATTTTATTATAATATATTCGCAAACATGCATGCAATCGAAATCAACCAAATGCTTGCTGTGTAAACCAACTCTAAAATCAACATAACAACATAGGGGTTAAAAAGACTTAAATAAGTGGTCAAAATCATGATTTTATGATGAAATTATCTTGGGTATTAAAGGAACTCTCAATGATCAGAAAGTAAAAACAACGCACAAAAAATAAGAACAAGGTTATTAAGATACGATATATAGATTTTCCATATGATGGAAAGTTCAAATAATTGGTTGAATATCACTACGTTGAACTCTATATAACCCTGTTTCAACACAAGTGCTATATTCGTTAATGAAAAAAATTGTCGACAAAATAATTTTAAAAAATCGTACGACAATCAATTTTCCCAAATTTGCTCCCTTTTTTACACAATCATCCTCCTCGCAGACGTCCATCTTTTTGCGCACTGAAAATTGTAAAAATAAAATTAAGATTATAGCATGTACATTTCTGATAAGACGTCTTTGAAATGTTTTTAACGCATGTTAACAGCATGTCGGTTCAAGGTTAGTAAATATAGTGTATATGTATTTCGCAGTGTATAATGTCCATCAAAATGCTTTACATTCTATGAAAATAGCGCTACGCAGACCAATAAGTTGAAAAGAACCCATAGAATAATGTTTTATGTGGCCTTCAAATTTTTTTTTCTTGTAAAGGATGTACGGTTTATTAGAGAAGTTTTTTTTATGCTACCAATTGTTTCAAATAAGATATATTTAATAAATATTTTGATAATTTGCTATTTCATTTGCAAAACATCTAGTAAATAGGAAAGAAAAAATAAAGCAAAAACTTTTTTTCTTCTTTATATGAATAACAAAATATTATGTGTGGATACTGTGCTTTATAATATAATGAATATGGACAAGAATACGATAATGAAAATTATGTTGCACATGAATCGATGAATGTCACTTCCTTCAATTAAAATATAAAGTCTGTTTAAATGATAATGCTAGTCAATACTTTTATCACATGTTTAAAATCAATAACTTCACATTCCTCACGTACATGAACATCTAAGTTGTTCATCGTTTCTTTCTTTCTAAAAGTTCAGATACGATTTCTTTGTCTTATTCACATGGTAGGGGCACGTGACCTCCATTTCATTTCTAAGCCTCGAATTGGATTTCGGATCTGGAGTTTTGCTTTAATGGCGGGATTCTGCATAAACTTGGAAATTTTTTCTCTCTTCTTATGTGTCAATTTCACTTGCCTACAAACTGAAATGTAAGCATTTGTCACCGAATTATAACTTTCACTTGCAGAAGTCTCAAAGAATAAGCAGTTGTACTCGGCACAAAACTGAGTAGCTTCAACATTTGTTACAGTGCACATATGCACGAGATCACTTTTATTAGCTATGAGTGCCATGACGGTTTTACTATCTGTCTTCTTGGCAATTACATAATCAGCAAATTCCTTCAATTTTAGAAAGCTTTCTCTATCGGTAATGGAATAAACCATCATAATTGCATCCGCCCAAACTATTTGGTCGTCTTTGATTGTGAAGCCGTTGGCCTGAAATAATGGGAAAAAATATAGAATTGTCAAAAATATGAATAAATTTTATTAGTACATGTAAACATTGAAGTCCTCCATCATGAATAAATGCAATTTTGTTTTTGCATTTCTTTGATCGAAAATCATTAAGGAACAATTGGATTGATACTGGTTAGAAAAGAAGAATTTTAATGAAAATAACAAGGTACACTGTATAATTAAAAAATCATTTAGGTCACTATGCCCTTGATGACTACAAAAAAAAAAAAAAAAAAAAAAAAAAAAAAAAAAAAAAAAGATTTAGACGAATGAATAATTTAAATCCATACTTAAATAAAAGGTTTTTGTTGCAATGATTGCTGAGCGAACAAAACGAAATGAGAAATGATGTTGGTCAGTTCAGTGCGATAATGGAATGGTTTGTGAGATGTTTGGCTGCTTTGAATTAAATGACATTAGCGTTCAAATATAAAGGCCGGTATACACGGTAAGATTTGTATTATAAGATTTGTATTAAAATATAAAATCTTACTGTGTATACACTCTTAATACAGTTTATCATAAGATTTTTCGAATCTTATAAAACTATTAAGAACAGAGCAATGCTCTATTTCCTAATTAATACAAGTCTTAACATACCTATCACTTTCAACCAATGAAATGTTATGACACAAGGGGTCATCCTATTTTTATCATTACTAAAAAAGCACATGGTAAATAATAATGGTTGACTTTACAAGTAAAGACATCGAAAAACTCGTGTCTTAATGGGAAGGAGAAAAGGACTTGTCGAATATATCAAGCAGTGCAGAGTAAGATGATAGACACTGCTATCAGAACCTCATCCTCCAATTTTATTACTTTGACAGAGAGAGATATATGGCGGGGAAAAACACGTTGAAATACGTAGTTTATTTACAATCTTATAAGATATGTATTAGCGTGAGTACGGGAAAGTATTATAATACAAAAGTATTATAATACTTGTATTATACTACAAATCTCATCGTGTATACCGGCCTTAAGATGATGTAAAAAATAATATTTATTGCTTTAAATATTTGTTTAAAGATGTAGAAAATGTAATAAAAATCAACCCAATTCTTAAAAGGGTTAGGGAGTTTTACTTCATTTAGTTTCTTTTATGAACAATTTATAAAACGACTGCTGTGTTCATGCTGAGCGCAAAAACCCCCCAATAATATTCAGTTTCAGCAAGATAAATAAAAAAATATCAATTTGATGGTTATCATATAAAAATAATTAATGTTATCTTCAAGAATAAATACAAAGGATTACGATATCTAATCAAAATGTACAGGTTGATATACAAGTCGAAATATCAAAAAGTGTATATTTACAAGAACACATAATTACATTCTTTCATCATCCAACATGAAACAGTTCAGGTACAGGTGTACTGATATAAAGATCATTAAGCATTGATTTTATAGTTGTATTTCTCTGGCGAGGTCTACAGTTTGGAGTATACCCTAGATCTCATTTTTTTAAGCTTTCATCTAAATCATGTCGGTCAGATATTTAATGTCTATTCTGCTGTTTGTGAATATTTACCGCAAATTTAGAACTAATAAAATATAAAACATGAAAGATACACAGTGGTTTCTTGTAACCATGGAAACATTTATGAAATTATATAGATGAGCATTATTTACAGTAAAATCATAGGATAGTTTCAAGAAGATGTGAAGAGAGCCCGTTTTGATTTACATGTAAAAAAAAATATCCATTTTTAATCATTATCAATATACATATGTGCATCAAGAAATGTGTCCTTCTTTCCTTTTAAAAAATCTTTTTTAATGCTTGCAATACAGATAGATGTAGTTTAATTCTGGACAAGTTAAAAAATGGAATTACAAAAAATGTACTAAATGTCTTGTGAGAAAATATTTTATCTTAATAAACTTCTGATCTCTCTTAACTGAAATGAGCCTTATTAAGCAACTATAAATCAAATTTATTTGATTGAGATAACGCTTCCTTTATTCCAGCACCTAAAATCAGCATGGGAACTATTGAACTATTGATATTATTTCAATTTAAAAGAAAAATGCATTATAAAAACATACATTGTCTATTTTCTGGCGCCTCTTATGATCCCTGATTATCTTTATACGACAAACAAAAGTGTAAAAATGATCATAACTATGCGATAATTACGTTAAGTAACTCGAATGTCTCTGTAAGCCATTAGTATCGCCTAATAACTATTGGATTTGAATCTTTCCATCTGAAAACTTGGCACTGATGCTATCTAAATACACTTTCCGTGATGGTTAGATAAATAAAGTTTTTACGTGTTTGAAAAAATATGCCAATAATCTATGGGATATCTCTAAAGACTTCTTTTCCAGATATGTAAATCGATTTTGTGAACTTAATGACATTCCGAATTTTGCGTAACACCTCGTCCTAGTTTCTCTATTCATCTCTAGAAGGCGACTAAAGCCTAAAAAAAATCTTAGTGATATATTTTTTTTCTTTAAAGAGACACTTAAATTTATGAAATTAAAAAAATGCTTTTTTATTCGACCAACAATTCAAGGTGAAAATATCAAGAACGGTGATCAATTAAAAACATGTATATATAATTCATACAAATCTGTGCAAAGGACATTAAACACAGACCCTTGAAATTCCATAGGTGAGATCTGGCCCGAATACTATAAACTGAGAAAAGACTTAAGTCAAAATTATGATTTTGAATAGCATGTGATTTATAATACATACAATATTGAAAATTTGTAGGATGGTACAATATTCCAATTTAAACATATGGTAAAAATTTTCTTTTGTAATCAAAATTATTTCAAATGTTACATAGATTTGAAATTTTGACTTAAGTCTGTTCTCAGTTTATGGTCTAGGGACCAGGTGTATTGGAGGAGTAAGCATCCCCTGCTTATCAGCCACATCCGCCTTGAGTACTATGTATTTATCATATAAACGAAACATTCCATAGTTAAATTCAATATAAAAACAAAGGCCTAAAAATTCAGCAAAATACTACCCAGCGTTAAGTTATTTTACTTAAAGGTCATGATACCAACTTTATTATTTACGAAATTCTGAGTTTTAAAGACACTGTTGAAACCCCTGTAGGAACAACTTAAATTCCAAACCAACTTCAAAATTTATTATTTAGAAAAAATTGGACATGCTCGGAGCATCTAATCGAGTGTCGAATTAGTTGGGAGATGTAAACATTAAATGTAGGTGATAGGGGATAACACTTCAAAAATATGGGAAGCTGACCATTAAAAGTCAAATGCTACTTGTTTGCTATACAATATAGTTGTCAGTTGAATTGGCTCCTACTGTCTTTAGTTAGAAAAAAAAAACCCATTCAAAACATTCTGTGGTGTCTTTAATTTCACTATTAAAATTTTACATCGAATCAACATATAATTGAAACTTATGTTACTTGAAAATACATTGTTAACATTAATTAATGTTGATTTGAAGGCAACAGCAATAAAGTGTGTTTTTTTTTTTTCATAGAGGTGTTTGAATAAATTCTGCCTCATAAGAACATAAAAATAGGTCACCAGCTGATTGCATTCAAAGTATGATACTTTTGTTTATATGCCATCTGTCAGCAGAGGATAGATATTTGCTGGAAGACCCGGTCACCGAAGACTACATAAATGTTGTCAATTGAACTCTAGCGTCCTTTTAATATCAATGCAAGATATAGCTGTTCAAATGCAGAAATGAATTATATCTTCATATCATTATTCAATAATATTAACATGATTTTCCTATTTCCAAACCTCAACATTTTGCTGTTCACAGAGAAATCTAAAATTTGTTTAAATCAAGAGAAAAATGCTTTTTTTTTTATTTCGTTGAAAAAATTTACGCCCTTCAAAACTGCCGTGGTCAAATGTAAGAGGGTGACGTATATACGTTAAATGACGATGAAGTGTACACAACCATTGCAGGAAAAAAAAGTCCGTTCCTTATTACGTTTATTTTTACGTTAATTTTTCAGGGGTACCAATTTTTCATTAAATTGAAACTTTTACAGAATCACAGTAACGTACATGTAGTTCATGTCCTTTACTATTTTGATCTGGCACTTATTTCTCGACTCCCATAGCAAAACATGGGCATTGCTATTATAATCATATTGAAATATTGAAGGCAGGGTATCATTTTATGAGCTCAGTGCTCATGTATAAGCTAGTTTTCAGTGTTTTACCACTGTCTATTACATAAAGGAAAAAAAATTCCAGCAAAATCTTTCTACCATATGCTGACTACAAACACAAGTATCATACTTTGAATGAAGCTTTGAAGTGTAATTCTATCATTACCGTGTCATAATAAGGTTTCTGATACATGCATCTGTTTTAAGCCAAGGAAAAACAGCATACGATTATTATTATTATATTTTTTACTAATTGTATAGCTATCTCTATCAAGATACAAAATATAAAAGCATTATCAGCTCAAACAGTATATATACATTGCTAATACTGCTCTTGGATCAAACTACACAGCGTCCTATATTTTTGTTAATGTATTCTACAAATTGTATGGAGAGTTGAGATACAACTCAGATGATAAGGATATGAGTTTCTTATACTAATTGAAGTTTATAAATCTGACATCAGCTTAAATTCATCAAATTCTTCACGATTATTTATATCTAGCTTGTATTAATTAGACCAAATAGCACTTCATCCGTTTCAAACAGACTGCACTGTCTGGAGTATTCGAAGAACATAGGACAGTGTATATATAAAGTGCCATAAGACTGTTCTTCTCTTGTTTTTGTATATAATGATCTAGTTAAACATTTTCCCTTTCTTTATATTTATTTTGATGATTAAGTATTACCTGCCAGGCAGTGTCTAGGATATGTACTGTGATCGTCTTTCCGTCCAATGAGCACTGTTTAGTGTATATAGCCTCTGTAAAAAAAATATAAATAAAATTTAAGTTTCAAACTAAAACAGTGTATCCCTGCTCCGCTTTAGACTCAAAAAAAAAAAAAAGAAAAGAAAAAAAAAACAACATTCTCTGTCTTGTTACGTTTTAATAATCATCTGTGGTATACATAGATTGTAAAAGCCTGTTTTATTTTTAAGTTCTATTTTCTGAAAAAACAAAACTTTGACAGTTTGATCTATAAATGATCAAAATATTCAATGAGAAGAAATGAACTCAACTTTGATAAACTATCTTTATCTATCTAAAAAGAATAAAACCAGTATGCACCACATGTAATAAAACCTGTAGTAAATATATTTTTCGAAAATTTAATGGATAAGACCTTGAAAAGTTTCTATCAGAGTTTTTTCAGTGCGTTCATGAAGAGCAGGGCGCAGATTAATTTTTAACGAGATTTGTTTCCTCTGGGTCTTGCTAAACTTGACACTAACAAGCTACTTATTAAATATCATGCACTTAACACTTGCGTATTTCATTCACTTTGTCAGTAATAATCTATTTTCTTGCTGGTGTCTCAGACAATAAATTATTTTGAAACTAGTGTTTTATGTTTTATCAAACTTTCTTGAAACAAACAAATTGATGAATATAGATTTATATGTATGACGTTTATACACTAGAGGGTTTCAACCTTTTTTTTTTTTTTTTTACATACCTCTGACATTCAATTTTTTTTAACTTTTAATCAAAAATTTTTATTCCATATAAATAAGGCTTTTCTAAAAATAGTTCCTGTGGATTCAATCGAGAGTTCATTGTACGTGCAAAAATATATAACAGTTTACATTGATCAAGGATTTTTTTTTACATTGAAATTAAAACCAGGAAGAGGCTGTGATATTTTTAAAGGTGGACCACTATATACCACTATACTTTCACTACACCTTATCTACACTATATAGCCTACTATTGTGGTTTGTTTATAGCGTATAATTCTTACATAATGAATATACGCGAATTAAAAATTTGGCGAACAGTCAGACTCGCGAAATTAGAATGGAAAGTAATTTACAGTTCATTAATTCTTTATTTTAGATTATAATCTTTAATCTGAAACATATGGAGAGAACGAACAGGATTCAAGCTCAAAATTCCATTAAACAATGCGATTTGGAGTATACAAGAACATCAAACATCAGAGGTGAGATCATGTGCCATGTAGGAGTGAGCACCCTCTGCCAACCTGTCACACCCGCCGTGTGATCTTTGTCATGATCAGGGAAAAATGGGAAAATCCGTCGACAATTCATTGAGTAATAAATTAATATTCTTACAACTAAAATGGAAAACGCCCGTCAGCATTTGACTAAATGATAAACTGTATAATATGCTTACAAGATCATTGTTTCGACCAAAGAACTTACGAAATGATGACTATAAACGAGACTACTGATATTTTCATTTCATCAACGTGTTTGTCAGTAAATTACCTCGTTTTAGATATTGCTCATACATAGAACATTCTCTTGCGTATCGAATTAACTGAGGGATATAATCCCAAGTATGCAGGTGATGAAGGTATATTGTTGCATAAGTAAGGGAGGTTGACTATTGAAAAACTTAAAAATCACCACGTTTATCAAAGAGCTCGGTTGTTAGATTAACTTTAACGTCTTTTTCAAGTAAAATGTCCAAATATGAAATAGATGTGTGAGACTCTGTGGTATCTTTTATCTCAAGCTCACCGGGATATATCGTATTGACATAAGAATGGAAATAACCATTGTAAATTGACAATACTTCATTTATATAATATCAAAATGTCGAGTTGAAGGCTACAGCCAGTATTTTTTTTTTCAAATACAGGATTTTGGACAAATTCTGCTTCATATGAATTCAAAAATAGGTCTGCTAATAACTGGCGCAATCGGTTGTACCAATAGAGATTGCAATAGAATGTCTCAGATTTTAAATGAAAAAATTTAGAAAGAAATAAATCACAATAATTTTTTTAAAATACAAATTAATGATAAAAAAAACCTTACCAATCTGAGAATCATAGTCCCCGATGAATCTCTTTGTCATGAAGCGTACTGTTAGAGCTATAAAAAATGCAAATTATATTTATATCATTATCAGATGCAATAGTTATTATCCTAAATAAGTTCTTTCGTTCAATATTATGTTTCTTTACAATAATGGTCATGAAATATTAATTGTGCCATAAAAATATTGAGTATGTTTTCCTGAACATAAAACTATATTCAATTATGATTTTATATTTTTACTTAAGAGAGTGACAGGGTAATGTAGATCAATATTTTTATCAACACCTTAGTTTGGCGAGATGGATATTAAATCTTTATTAGTGGGAAAAACTTTCTATGCATTGAGGTAACTGGTGAATACCATCTACTTAAGTTCTAATATACGCAAGATATGTTCGCGAGCTCAGTGTCTCGCGTGTATACACCAAAATGATTAATCCGCTTTAAAAACAGATTTATGATTACTATTATTGCATAACTATTTAAATTAAGACATATAATCTTTCTGTTATTAATCCTTAAACCTGATTCTTACAAAAATGAAAATAGTTACATGCATACAATAAAAAATGCTGCAAAGTATGCTTTTTTTTAAAGACATATTCAATGTATTCACCCGGCAAAATGAGAATCTAAATGAATAAATCCTACTAATTTTATGTGTGGCAGAGAGTGATTTTAACCCCCAATTTTCGCCACGGAACAGACAGGTTAACAAACTGAAGTCGACGTGTAGGGCGGGTTTTGGACGATGATGAGTTGTGTGTACGTAAGATTTTTTATTCCTCTTGACAGTTTATACATCAGATCCGTACATTGACGTTAGGTTTTATTTCATTTATTTCATTCTGACTAATAATTTCTGGAGATAAATTTTCGTTAATACACGCTTGTTACAACAAAGAGGAAAATGTTTGCTCTTTAAAAGAAGGTTTTACTACAGGTATATATGCATAGGTATAGAAGTCGAGTTCATTGTTCGAGGCTGGAATTCTAATCAATGTGGTGTACATTATTGTATCCTTTGTTAAATATTAACATCACTAGTTTGTGAGAGCCTGTCTGTCAATTTGTGCTTTAAAAGCTGTAAAATAAAGGATCCTCTTATCTTCGTTTTACTGCATGTACAGACTTGAAAACATCAGTAAATTAATTCAAATGACTGTTGACTCTCCTCTAAGTACCGTTATATATGAGTACAATATTTTTTGTTGTAGGTCAATAGCCGACAATATTAATATAGAAATATTCTCTTTTTATTATGTAACATTGAAGAAGATAAAAGAAAATTAACTATGGACAATCTAAAATTGGTTTACTGTATTGTCAAAAACAACGTTTTTTATGTTGATGTATAAAAGTAAAATTAAAGAGAATACATGCTTATTTGTTGTTTATCAAAACCAAATGCCGATTCAGTTTTCTAGATCTGCACTAAAAATAATCGAGGACATCCTTAGATGTGATTAAGAGCTGCTGCTGAGGCAGCTACAATTGCAACTAATGTAATTAAACTAAGAAATTCATTAAAATATAGTTCTTGAAAATTTAACTTTTTGTGTCATTAAAAATTTGAAAATAAATAGGAAAATTAATACTTTTGCAAAGCTAGCTTTTTGAAGAAAAAAAATCATATTACTTATATACATATTGCAAGAATTCAAAGCCAACCAAAGGTTAAAGTTTGGTAATTATGCCGATCTGATCACCTGTTGTTTGCACTGAGTGGACGTTTAGGTATGGATTATCAGTTATTATTTCAGCTTCCCCTTGTGGTTCACAAAATAAACTAAGGGATTATCTTTGCATCGCGAAAGAAATTCTCTGCAAGACGTGCTCTCAAGGCCATAAAGTGGAAGCAGTAAATGAACACAGCTGCTTAGAAAGCATAGTAATTAGACAGTTAATCGGTTAATTACATCCATTATTTAACACAAACGTGAATAAGAGGTTGTTTAAAAAAATTCTTTACACTTTACAAATAAATTTTGATGAATAATCTTTGGAATAGCTGAACTGATGAGCTATTGTTAGTAACAAAAGGGAAATGCCCATGCATCTCATTGCCTTTTGGTTGTAGTGTTCTAAGTTTTTTTCCAAAGCCATATGTACATTTTCATTTTAACCTTCGGTTTGGAGCTTAGAAAATAGTTCAGTAGTACGATAATAAATAAATCTGCTCATAAAAAAACTTTTGACATTTTATGAAAAAAGGAAACACCTTTAATTGCCAGACTTCTAACTTGGGGTTGCAAAAGGGATGATTAACACATTGAAGTATGACCTTGAAAAAATATTACACTTTTTATCAAGCTCTGCTATAGAAACTTAAACGTGTCTTACGTCATAGACATGTATTTAAAAAAATACGCCAATTGCATTTAGGTGAAAATTTATGAGTTTTATGTTTAAATAAGTTTATGTTTCCTATCTTTTCTCTCGATCCTTTTTCTGTAAGGCGTAGAACATTAAAACAAAATCTGTGTGTCACACCATTTCTTTGTAAATATAGCTTCTATAGCAGAGTTTAAGAAAAAATCACGAGAACATAACAAATTGTTGACGCTGCATACCTAAAATTAGCAATTGCACCCATTGTTGGATACTTGAATTTAGGATATAACCGCATTCCTAGGAACGTTTGCTATGTAGACAGGTATCTCTACATCTCCAAAGATCACCGCAAATATTGCATAATAATTTCGGCATTTATAACTTTTCTTAGAAATCTTTGCAGAAAAAGACTTAGGAATCTTCATTTTTCTAAATTACAATGGACACTTGACTATCCCACATTGCATTGCTTGCATTTCATTGCAACTAATTGTTCATTTCAGATATTGTGAAATCAGTAGCTTGTTAAAGGGTTTATTTGATATCTAAATAATTAAAGCCAAAATTCCAGGCAAGTGTCATGCATTGACTTCGTTACAATGTCTTCTAAGGAACATTTATTCCATTTATGATCCTTTAAAGGAACTAAATCATGCTTTACTAATAAGAATTTAAATTGTTCTTACAATTTGGGTGGGGATTTTTACGGAACTTAAGGCATCGGTGTTTGCAAAGAAACCCAAAATATTTTATTATGGTTTGTATGATTTCCCTTAATACTCTCCTCTTACTGAAACACATGCCTATGTAACCTGGAACATTTTTTTTTTATGAGATTCCTTCTAGATTCCTAAATGTTTTTAAAACACATTTACATGTAGAATGGCAGATCCTATAGTTTCCTAGGCATGATTCTCTTTATTCTGAAAGATGTATTTATTTAAGTTAAAAAAAGTCGAAGTGTTAAAAAAATCTGGTAAATTTTGCTGGTGTGACAAAATGGCATCTAAAACTTTCTTTCTGCCCTGACAGTTCTTTGTTCGTCCCATGCAGACATTTGCTTTTGTAGTCAAAAGCACCTATGTTTCATGTCATAAGTTCAGGGCATAATTTATTGAACCTCTCGTATCTAGTAAGTAATTGATATTTTATTCATGCTGTAATAAACAGGTTGTCTATTACATAATGTAAATAACAACAAAGCGGAATTTTATTTTTTTGTCTGTTTCAAGCTGTCTCTTGTGAATTGTTTTTCACACAAATACATGTAGAATTAAATAAACGGATCAATTCAGTTTTAGAAAAGGAGTAATTGCTGATGTGAATTGAAACAATCTGTCTCAAAATACCGACGAATAAGGACACATAGGGCCCGCATACGTGTATTATGGCTTGAGAAATTCAACAGAAAAATGAAAAAAAATCTTTTGCTTTAAAGGTTAAAAAACACACCGTAAGAAAATTTTGCACAAAGAAAACTAATTAGTGTAAAGGAAAAGAGTGTACTTTAACGCCCGTTTCATTTATTAATCAGATAATATGCTTTCTATTACCTAGCTTATAAATGTAAATATACTTGTTTCAGAACACATGGTTTGTTTTGTCTAACACACTGCAAATTGTTAGTTCTTTTTCTTACCAACTATTTTCTGTGAGTTTAAAATGATTGTTCTCCTAGAATTTCTGAAACCATCTCGTTTGTAATATAGTTGATAGTTTGAACTTGTCGGGTATCATCAGTAAAATATTCGTTTAAGAATCTCAGCTACTGACAAATGAAATGACGTTACAGAGATTTCAACGATCGTGAAAAGTCAGCATTTTAAATATAATGATCTTATTAGGAGAGAAAAAGTTTAATTTTTAAATGCTATATGAATTACTTCTTACAAACCCTTTTTAAAAACTAAGAATTATTTTCCCTTCCATTCCGTATATATTATAACCTAGCCTCTAAAATCTTCTTATTTAAAGTTATAAATGAAACTTTAGATGGCACTGACAGAAGAGCTCCCATTATCCTCAGTTAGGTGATGTTGATAAGAATAACGATAAGAGAGATGACAAACAAGAGTAAATTAATTCAATCTGTCTATCACGTAACACACTCGCCCGTTATTTATTTCACGTGCAGATCTCACTATAACTTAAGGTTGCCGTCGGGTTTGAGATAACTACTGTTTCAGTGGATGATCAGGAGCAAACTGACACGAAAATTGCAGATGAAGCAAATTACCACAAAAATTGGTAACAGTGGATTGGGATCATTTAGTAGTCAAAATATCATTTGATTATGTCTAAGAAACTGAGTGAAGCAAAACGTTCAAATTTCTATAAATGCACGCCACAAAACTTTGGTATCAGTTAACGAAGTTGACTATATATTAATGACTGCTTTTTAAATTACTTAACTTATTACTGGAAAAAATGAAGTAGTTTATAAGTTTTCTTTACATGTTAATGAACACAATAACTTAACAAGGAAACTCCCATGAAATAGTGTGCATTTTAGCATATAATATCAATAATACAAAGTACCTTTACTGACATGTACTAATACTACAAATATATGAAAATTCAGATTTTTTTCATCAGTAAGTACAAGATGTATGTAAACAAATCAACATTTACTTCATATTTAGATATGCATTTTAAATAACAAAAGAACCTTTTCAATAACTTAAAAATATGTACCTATGTGGACGGACATCAATTCCAAAATCTCAAAACGTTATTTTAGGTGTATATTTTTCTGACCATATCTTAATTTGCATCATTAAAATTCGATGTTGTTATGCTACATCCTCAAGAATGTTTTGCATCGCAAACATTTTTTATGCTGCAAACTTTTACAGCATTGCTCAATAAGGCTACTTTAGATCAAATCTGAGTTAAAATAATCTGTCTACTGGTGTAAAAAGCATCGAAAAACAAACTTCAAAAGATCTGAGAATTAAACGCGAAAGTCGATGCAGCTATTTGAATTGGATTATGATAGAGCAGAGCTTACGTTCCGCATTGTTATTATTTATCTTTGAGAAGTGCTTACTCATTTAGGACAAGCTTTAAGCAGAGATAGTAATGCCACGAAGAACAATTATACATTGAAAATAGACCACCTGCCGAGTTAAACCAATTTAGATATAAAGACAGTGTAGTATTTGTTTTTAAAACTTTCTACTTTTTATTAATTTTCGACTAGTAAAATCTCTTTGATCAGTTTGTTGCTTTATTTTAGAAAAAAGAAATGTTTTTCTCAAATTCACTATCCAGTTGTGTATGATGCAAATACATTATGCAACAAGGAAAATGTTAACATTTTAAAATCACAAAATCATGGAATATCTGCAGAATGTTTAAAGTGTTCAGTTAAGCTTATGAGTTCTTGAGTACAATATATAACTGTTGTCTCTTGTAGAAGATGTCAAATATGAAGGAGGAGAGCACAAAATGCTCGTGAAACGCCTTTACGGAGATTGCAATCTGTGGATTTAATAATGATTTGAATTAAAGTTTTGTCTGGCATCAAAACAGGAATTTGACTATCGCACAAGTTTTTATTATCATCAATATCATATAAAAATATGTCCGTTTTATTTTTTTCTTTTCACTAATTAAGAGGATTGTGCAGATAATAATGAAACAAAAGTCTCCGAAGAAAAGCGTGTTTCGGTTACCCCTTAAAATATTTGATATTCTATCACGAAAAGTGAAGGGCCTGATTATATGTCATAACCCATTGATTAGAAGGAAATATTAATTGGACTCTAATATATATATGTAAATTGAAATATTTGAAAATTTCATACGCTTTAAGCCATTTATAGCTAAAAATAAATACCTACCTGATTTTCCTACTCCTTTGACTCCAATAACTACAATATTGATATCCTTTCCTGTATGGTGACCTCCCTTTGGAAGCCTGGAATCATCCATTTCAGGCTTGGGGTCTTTATCTAGATGACTTGAAAAAGGCATCCGGCATTATTTATCGACACTATAATAATTTTGAATCGTTAAAGTAACATATCCGCTTATTTCAAATTATAATGAGTAAAGTCAACAAAATCTGTATAATTGCATCACATTGCGACGTGTTTGCGTTGAAAATCTTCAGGCATTGGTTTGACCCTGTCGGCAGTCTTGTAAATTTGAGCAATTAAAATTTATTTCTCACCAACTCTATGATTTTTTGTAAATTCCCATTGCAGATGAATGCAGTTTCAACTGCTTTAACGATAGAGTACTTGACATCATTAAGAATGTTCCAGGCTTAAGGTACAACTATCAGTGAGAACGAGATTGGAAGTGAGCGATCTTTTCATCGTCTGCTTTTAACGTTGTGACATTTGCAACTGAACCTTTACCCACTTACACCTTTTAATGAATCCCCCTCACTGCGCAGACGATAGGATTACTACTGACTGTGAGAGGCAAATTGTTGTGGTGGAAGGAACGGGTTATCCGGTTGTTTCATAAAACAACATCCCCAGTTCCGGAAAATTCGTTTTTATCGTTATTTATTTTGAGGATGAGATATCGTATGGAGCAAATTATATTCAAATTAATGATGAAAAGCAAAGATAAGATGAAAATGGCAGTGGAATGGTAATTTTCTTCAAAAAAAAAAGAGAGAGAAAGAGAGAAATGTAACATCATTGTTATTTGTAAAATCAACAAAAAAATCATGGTAAATCGAAAATTAAGATTAAAAAAATATACTGAAAATAGATGAAATGTATGGAGATAAAGAACAGTATTCAAGATTGAAAGTTCATAAAACAATACAAAATAGCAGTAGAGCAAACACGGACCTCCAAAACATCACAGGTGGGATCAGATGCCATGGAGGAATGAACATCCCCTGCAGACCAATCACACCCGCCGTGTGTTCCTTGTCATGATTGGGAAATAACAGAAATATCTGTCGTCATTTAAGGTCATATGAAACGTAGTTTGGGTTCTTCCCTGGAGTTGAAGAGTTCCACTAAATAAAGAACCTGTGTGCAGTACTTTAAATGTCTATATATAGATTTGTACACTTCTACTAAAACAAATTTTGATTGAAAAAAAATCAGGAAATAATGTTTTGTAATTTTTTATATATTTTTCTTTGAATGATGCAAAAATTTTCATATTTTGATATCTTCCAAAAAACCCTGGTAATGCATGCTGATTTTTTGTCTATGAACATCTGATGGCACAATAATCTTAAATTAAGGATATCTTGAAAAATTATCAGTAGGTACGGTACCTTGCGTATGTCCTTAAGTGAATAAATAATGAACTAACAATTAATATGATAAATTATATTTGCTGAAAATGTCATTGTATCGACCATAGAACTTACGAAATGATGAGTTTAAAAGAAATTCAGTTCTATCTTTCAAATTACTTAATGAAACATTAAATTTCCCAGTACATTACTTATTTTACTTAGATATAAGAGAACTCCATCAAAATATGTTCGTGTCCTCCTCCTAATATATATCTCTTCATAATATATACCTAATTAAATTGATAACTAAATCCAAACCAATCATAGAAATGCATAATAATCGTGCTCACAACATATACAGAAAATATTTTTTTAATTACGTTCTTTTTATGTTTGCATTCATTTAATCTCCTAGAAAAAATATATATGGATATTCAGCATTTGATCATGGGGAATCGCCCATGAATAGTAGGTTTCTCGTCTACAAGGTGTTACTTTGGGGATTATTTTGAAAATTGAAATTGTTGTTTTTTTTTTATTTTTGAAAGAAAATTTTTTTTAGTTTCACATGTTAGTCCAAAAAGTGTTTTCTCGGTAAATACGACATAAAACAGAAACCACAAATCTATTCAGCAAGATCGTGCCCTAAAAATTAACAACAGAAAAACTGACGAAAGCAGAAATGAATTTCTATGCAGTATGGTAGGCATTGAATTATATATATTTTTGAGAGACGGGATATTATCTCTGTTGAAAACTCACAAACCATCATCAGTAACTGCAAAACAACATAAAGGTGTGCAAAATGTGCGCAAATGACTTGCCTTAATCATATTGGAAGCAAGAGGGTCAGTCGAGGGCGTTGTGTTGAAAAAAGACATCTGGCCGACAGAAGTAAAAAAGATGACCATTTCGATTTTCTAGTGTCAACGAGGCAGGTGTATTTACAACACATAAAATTGACCAGACTAGCTTGCAACTGCAGAACGAAAGATAACCCAGAATAACTAAAATCAAAGAGCATCGCCAGGTGTAAGTAACTGGCATAACGTGAAACATATGGAGATAACTAACAATATTCAAGATCAAAAATCCATAAAACAATACAAAATAGGAGCTGAGCAAACACTGACCTCCAAAACATCCATCAGAGGTTGGGATCATGTGCCATGGAGGAATGAGCATCCCCTGCCATACTGTATTTTTTTTTTTAAAAGATAAGAAATATATACATCAAACGTTTCTACAAGAAAAATATCAAAAGAAGTTTAGTATCTTATTACAGTGTATCTAATTATAGATAAAATATCATTTAAATTAAACAATTTTGTCACCATTTTATGGCACTATTTTAGTCGTCCATTACTATTGTATAGCCATATTGATTTGTATGTGTTTGCAAATTTTTTTTCTTCTGGTGATAAGATTTTTTCACCAGAGGATTGAGTTTTTGATTCCTTAAAACGAATTGAACAATTGTTTTGACATAATCAAAAAGATATTATTTAAAAAAGAATACTATGAAATATTTAATTTATTAAATAATAGTGACTTTTTTAATAGAATTGTTTTGTTCTTTTGTCGTTTAAGTTTTTAATGTGCTTCGTTGCTGCAGAAATATATAACAAAGATGAACCATCACTATCCAGTCCGTTGAATGGTCACTTAAAAGCCTTGAAAGGTATCTGATTGGCAGGAATTTTTCCAGTTACCTTTCAGTAGATTTTACTCATTAACAGTTATCATTAAATAACCTTTCTAAACTTTCAGTCACCTTTCATTTACATAAATGATAGAAATTTATTCAATGACCTTTCAGTAGATTTTTAGTCACCTTTAATTCAACTGATTGGCAGAGTTCTCATTTAGTTATCTTTCGGTAAACTTTCGGTCATCTTTCCTTTAACTGAATGAGAGAGCTTTAATCATTCAGCTATCAGTAGATTGGCATCCATTCATTAAACTGAATGGTGTAGTTTCATCCAGTGAAATTGGAATTTGTTATCATTTATCATACACAAAAATATATAACCCTCCCTTTGTTTAACCGAATGGTTGGTCTGATTAAAATATATAAAGCATCTCTCATTTTAAATTGTTGAATATAATTTTAATCCAACGACTTGTGTGATTCACAAATTTGGAATATCACATGTTTTACACAAAGCTATAGTATCTTTTGTAAGGTTTTTTAAATATTTAAATCCACCGCAACATGCGGTTGAATTTCTATAAACTGTAAGGGAATTCCATTGTCCCATCAAATAAGTGGAATGTAAATAATATTATATATATATGACAGATTTAAACCTAGTGAAAGAGTAAATATATGATGAGAAGAAATATTCCCTGTTTTATATATATACTTTATTTTTCAACATCTTTTCATGATACAACTATAGCTCTTAAAAATCCAGATCAATTTTTTTTTATGAAAATCACTTCTAATGGTTGATTTTCAATACAAAAACACATGAATTACAGTATTATCCCAACTCAACCATTGGCAAATTGGTATTGTTTATCTCACAAATGTACATAAAACTGTACAGATTACAATCTTCATCCGACCACTTGAAGTCTAAGACTTTGTGCATAGCGGTGCAATCGTCATCAGGTGACCAGTTGTCAGGTTGCCCTTGACCCCAGTCAGTAAATGTTAAAGGGTCACCACTCTCAATCCAGGTCCAATCACCCTCGATCACATTATCAGTTGCTCCAATCCAGATTGTATCTAAAAATAGAATGTGATAAATACAGTGAAACCTGTCTAAACCGATTCCTGTGCAATATGTCACACTGTAAATTCAAAAGATAAATTTCATCTCAGTTTTTTTTCTTAATTCCATGTTTTTTTCACAATTTGCAATCTGAAACCCTGTCTATTCTGACAAAAAATTCTTCTCCAAGTGCATGTCCTATAGACATGTTTCACTATATTTCAGCTGTTTAAAGTCATGCATAAAATATTTTTTTTAAAAAATCAATGTTAAGTAGCATTAGATTTTGTAAAATTACTATTATTATTTTTTAAAAACAAAGAATATTGAACAGGTAATATTGTAAATATTTATTTTTTTAGGATGAATTTCATTAAATGAAGACTTTCTTTTATTAAAATTTGTTTGTGTATCATAGCAACCTTGCATTTCATTTGCAAGATCTTTTATGAACTGATTTTCCTCTGCGCTTTCAATTTGCACAATACTTGCGTTACGGTCGAAGCAGGAAAACTGAAAGAAAAATAAAACGGAAAGAATAAATAGAAAGGCGGAGTATGAAATCTGAATTAAGATATTTGTGTAATTATTAAGTATATTATAATTAGCAAGTTTCAATTTCAACTGAGAAACGAATGTGGACCTGATTGTCATGCAATTTTATATAACTAAAAAGATAAATTGAATATTTTTATGCTCTCAGGATGGCACATAAAGGAAAACAGGTAATTCTGCATAAAGTTCTATCTTTTCAGCAAAACTTTTCGATTGTATTTAAATAATTTGCCAACATGTAGAACAAGGAAGCTAGTAATAATACTTATGCATAAATGGATAAAGATGCGTTCAAGATACTTTCTGTCTATCTTGCTAAAAGTATTTAAGATTCATAAACCATCTGCTTCCTCATTTCAAATGTTGCTTGAACCTTAACGATTTTCCAAAAGAAATTTATTTTATAAGTAAAATACCGACAAGTACTGCATAGCTTGCGGGGCAAAATTGTATCAAAAAAAACACTTGAACTTGGCAAATTTATAAAGGAATAATAGACGTTTATGTCATTAAGAGTTATCTTTCTTATCAGAGTATCAATGACCCTTAACTTTAGTATCATTGTTCTAACATAGAGTAAAAAAAAAGAATATGTTGTGTGCATTATCTTTATACAATTGGGTAATTATATACTAGTATTTGAGTCTGAGAAATTTAAATCTAAATAAGACTTTAAAAAAGTAACTTACTTGTGCTGGAAAAAATGATTCCTGCAACGACACCATAAGATATAGAGAAGTTCCGAAACACCTTCCCTCACTTAACTCTAAATGTTTGAGTAAACATAAGATTTTTATTAATGATAAAATAATCTAAATAAATTAAACCATTATCATTATTATTATAAATATGATCATCATTATAAAATTTGTTTCATGATAAATTGCATCGTTTAGAGCATGCCATATCACTCTTGTGTTGCTTATTCAAATAGCTGCTTTTTATTATACCATATCTCAAAAATACAAATTACCATTAATTATAAGTTTTATGAGTGATATACTTATTCTGATTTATATGTAAATCACCGTAAACTTGTTGGTATTGGAAAATATATTCTTTCGACGGATCAAAGTAAGTTAAGTCAATACCTACCCACGCCGTTCTTTGAGTAATGTTCGTATCCAAGGCTAAAAAAGAGGTCTTCTGTCTTCAATCCCATGGCAGTTATACAAGACATTGCCATTTTGTTGTAGAAGAAAGAACAACAACCGAGTTGTTCTAAACATTTAGCGCCACAAGTAGACAACGTTTCAATGTTGTTATATTCGTACAAGATATATCTAACTGGCGGTATCATGTCATCATTTCCATACAGTCTTTGGAACCGTGTTCCTGCACTCATTAAATGTACTATTTCTGGACTATGAAATATTGTAAAAATGAAGATCCAAAATATATCCATCTTATTTCTGATGTCAAAGAAATAATTTGACTGCGTGCAATAAAAAAAATTGATGTTCAAGCAATTATAAGTTGCTTAGAATACATATCATATTCGTATGGAATTGCAAACTTTGGTTCTTTGTTAGAATGATTTGATTTCGTGTATTCCTTTAATTAACTTTATTGATGAAACACTTTCTAAAAGATGGGTTGTTTATTTTAAGTACTTTTGTTGACAAAGTTTTAACTTCAGCGTTACGTAACGGAAACTTGCATTGTTGCTGTATTGTTGGAACAGCAATTAACTTGATCAATACATAATTTTTGGCCATCACGACTAACAATGAATCAAAAAGACAAAATATGAAACATGGTGTCAGTTTCTTAACGCTTCAGACTCCATTTCGAACAACAGCATTCAAAACTGGAGAATTCTGTATACAAACTCGTTGAAAAATAAAAGCCCATTATTATGGGAAACGTTTTATATTTAAACCAGTTTATCACATATTCACTTAACACTTGTATATGTAACACCTCCACATAAAGAACTTAAATTAATTATTAAGTAACTACATTTTTAGCGGTATTTTTTGTCTGATACTCCTGATTTATTCAAGACCGTTATATTAAAAAAAGTCATCAGTCTTATTACATGGTTAACTAATACCTGTTCAAATACCTGTGTAAATGAACTAGAATACCTTTTTCAAATAAACGCGTATCGTTTGATTTGCCTCTGATCATTGATATTTTGGATTTTATTATTCAGACAAAAGAATGGAATAAAACAAAGTGTAAGGAAAGTTGACGTCATAAATTTGATTACATTAATATGTATCGGTAAAAGATTGACACTAATATTTTTGTAAATAAATGAATGGTGTACATGCTGTATTTACATAAAAAATAAAATAAACGCCGTATTATTCAAAAGTTTTCAAATTTTCTTTGAAAAAATTTGGTTATCGTAAATACATATAAGAACAAAGTATGATGATTAAATTCTCCTTAAAAAAAGATGCATGCACGAAATGTGTTGTTAATTGCATGGAATGCTTTGGGACGAAATCTCTATCACAATTGCTGTTATGGTTAGATCGGGTCAATACCGACATATAAAATTTGTTTATATAGTTATATAGCATCCCTAAAGTTACTGAATTTGATGAACTTTAATTATCGAATAACTTTCACACTATAAACAATGCTGATAAGGCTGATAACTCATGCATTCCATACTACTAGTATTTGCTTTACATTGTATGTAGCACTGTGGTTCATGATGACTATAAAGTAGGTAAACTTGTTAGATATTGATAGAATAGTTCTTTTTGTTGATTGCCAAGGTTTGAGTAATCTCCTTATGTACAGGGATCTTTTGTGTTTTGTTGTCATTCGTTCAATAATCGTTAGAACAATGATATAAATACATAGACATGTGCTTGGATTTTTCAAATTTTCCGTAGAAGGGCTTTGTTAGCAATTGTGATTTTAATTTTGAAATTTTAATTTTGAAATACCAAAATCTGGAATGTTGTATGAATGCCTGGTAATAGCACCACAAGCTTGAATATGAGTAATAACAAAACTTAAAGAAAAAATCTTATTGGGATAGTGTGACATTAAATCAATCTTGAATATACGAATCAAGTTTCATTAAAGAATGGAAATAGGTTATCAAAAAAGTAAACATATACTCTGTAGGATAAAGCATCAATTGCACTAGTATCATCATAAAAATGTTCTCAGGAAGTTTCAGTAAATACATGCTTTTACTTTAAAGTTTGGATGCAAGTACGGATACACAGAAGTACATCTTAATTTTTCCATCTCTTTATTTAACAAACTTAGGTTACTACAAATGATTTTCCTTTTAAATATAGAATTAAAAGGCGGACCTTCAGCTAAGATTCTATATTTCCTCATTTGTGTTTGTAGTATTTAAGTTTTTGAGTTTTCGTAATGCCAATAACAAATGCATTAATTTAAAATAACTACAGTAATAGCAAATTTAAAAAGTAAAAAAAAAGTTTCTGGACAGTTTTTACATACGTTTATCAATTTATTGCGTGTATGTTTCTTAGCTCTCAAAAATATATGTGAGGAGGCGGTTTTTCTGTCGTGTTAAATACAGGAAAAATAAAAAGGTGATAAGAATTGGTGTTCTGGGAACGGTTCTTCTGTGCTTTGCTACATCAACATGTGCGCTTTACTTTTTCCATTTCCTATGACATTTGCACTTGTTCCTATGTGTAGGGCAAGTTGCACAATGACTTGGTCGGAATCTAGCTGTAGTCAACGTTATACTGGTGAGATAAAATTTTGCATCATTGGATGTTTCTTAATTCCACTGGTAAAAATCTTACTTTTGTTAATCGAAGCAATTAGTATACAAGTAATACTTTAGCTTTTGACACGTCTTATTTCTAATTTTATAGTTTAAAAAAGGACAAGGAGATACCTTAACATATCAGAAATATATTTTTACTTAACTTAAAACATTTACATACATAATGGTTTTTACACTTATAGATATTAATAATTGTTTATTTGCAGATCAATGCAATGTTTCATTCTATGCATATATCTCGAAAAATTTTGCGATTACGAGGGATGCAAAACAATGGTTTATGACAAAGTAATTACTAACAACGGAAATGGCTATAGTAATAAGGCCGGGATTTTCACGACCACAAGTCAGGGAGTGTATGCTTTTTCATGGTCAACAGTGGCTACCGGGTCACATGTGGCAGGAACCGTGGGTAAATTTGGAGGAATTTCTACATTATTTATTGCACAATGGAAAAATCAGAGGAGCAATTCAGGTTGATACTGAAACTAAATGGGAAGAAGCAACGTCAAGGATCTGCATACAGCAACGAAAAACTTGGTTTATGGACATTTTCAGGTTTCAAGATTACCTTAAAGTTGCTTTGATCAAAAAAGGGTTACATAGGATTATAACTACCCATTTTTATAATATTTCAAACTAAAGACAATTTTACTTAAAAAATATTAGTTCTATTCATTTTATGCCTTTTTAATATCTGAAAATAAATATCCATAACGAAGCATCTAGATATTTAAACGCTATAAGGAATTAAACCTCTTCAATCTTCAACATACTGATTTGTTGAAATTTGGAAAAACAAAAAAAGAAATATCTTTTATAACGAAAAGAATGCAAGATATTTAATATGTATCTGCTATATAGAGTTTGGAGCGGAATCTTAAATAAAAATTATTGGGAAACAAATCATACAATAGAGCGTGTCTTATGGGTTTCATTTTATCTTTTATAGACGAAGAAAAACTTGTCCTATCAAAGTTTCTTCCTTTTTTTTAATGTACATTGTTTTTGTCCGAGCTGCTATCAAGAATGTAAAAAAAAAAAGATCTAAAAGGAATATCAACTTTCTATTGTATTGTTTTTTCGCAGATGTAGTGATAGTTTCCGTCACAATCTTCATCAGCCCACAAGAAATCAAATTCTTTGAACAAGGTAAGACAGTCCTGATCATGGTAATTATTAGGTTGTTTCTCCCCCCAAAATGTAAAGGATAACAAATCTCCATTCTCTGTCCAGGCCCACGTGTCTTCGATCTCTCGATCTGAGCCTCCAATCCAGACTGTGTCTATGAAAAGCCAAACATATAACTTCTTTCATAGAAAATAACACATACTTATGCATCTTATAGCTATGTGCTTAATATACCCCCGCTTGAAAAGCGGGAGGGTTTATAGTATTCATTATGTCCGTCCGTCTGTTACGCTTTCGGGAACCCATCTCTTATTCGCAACTCCTCTCATACCACTGAATGAAATGTGATGAAACTTTCACATATATTAAATACAGTAAAACTCGTTTAGTACGAACACGGATATAGCGAAGTTTTTCAGGGTTCCCAGCAAAATTCTATACATATCTTTGTAAAATTTTACGGTTAAAGCGAACTCTGATATAACGAATTTACGGATAAAGCGAACTGATTTTGAGTCCCATTTAGGTTAAATATAATTGAATTTACATATTTTATAACGAACTTTCCAACATTATAAAAAAATTGAATTGATTTAATTTACTTTTAGCTTTTGTATATAAAATTCAATTCATAATAAAACCTTAGTTATCGAAGATATGTTTTATAATATTTGCTTCCCTAACATATTTCATCGTAATACCTGAAGGAAAACAAGCATATTGCGAATTCGCTATAATGGATATACGAATTCGTTATACGGATATAACGAATTACGGATATAGCGAAGTAAATTCACATGTCCCCAGGACTTCGCTATAACCGAGTTTTACTGTATTGTATTGTGCACCTCCTATTTTGCTTTTTGGCACATACTGTGAATTCACTAATTATGTTCCCCAAACGAAGTTGGGGAACATATTGTTTTTACTCTGTTTCTTATTATTATTATTTTTCTTCTCGGGAAAATTTTGTCCGTGAATGATCTTGTAAAGTACAAGTCCGATTAAGGCGAAACCTTTTTAGGGTAAGTAGGCATGTAATGTAGATTTGCGGAACGAAGGTCATTTTGCGCGCACGTGCTTGCAAGAGCGCGCACGTGCAACACGTAAAATGACCAATATACATGAAATTGCCGTAACTTTGACATTTTTTGATGTAATGCTTTGATATTAAGAATATATAGACATATGATAAATGTAGATAAGATGACATTGTCAACATGCCATTTTGTGCGCACGTGCTTGCAAGAGCGCGCACGTGCAACACGTGAAATGACCAATACAGTGGATATAGCCGTAACTTTTCTATTTTTTGATGAAATCTTTTGAAATTTATAATATAAGGATATATTAGTAGCGTAGACAAGATGACATGGTCAAGATAGCAAGATGTCACGCGCATGCACGTGCGCTTTGCTCTGATTGGCTGAAACAAAGGTCTCAATATCTTTCTTGTTTTTTGACGAAATCCTTTGAAATTTTGAACATAGCCATGCATTAGGATGTCCTACAATATGATATATAGCAATAATCATTAAAACAAGTATATGCACGTGCTCTGCAATCTGATTGGCTGAAACTTTAAATAGCTATAACTCCCTTGGTTTTCAACCAAACAGGATGGGATTTGGAACATAAATGTATATAATGGACTTCTAAAAGAAGGTATAGTCACCATGCGCATGCATACACGTGCGTGTACGTGAGCTGCAATCTGATTGGCTGAAACTTTAAACAGCTATAACTCCCTTGGTTTTCAACCAAACAGGATGGGATTTGGAACATAGATATATATGATGGACTTCTACAAGAAGGTATGCTCATGTATGCACATGCATACATGTGCGTGTACGTGCGCTGCAATCTGATAAGCTGAAACTTTAAACAGCTATAACTCCCTTGGTTTTCAACCAAACGGGTTGGGATTTAGAACATAGATAGATGTAATGGACTTCAACAAGAAAGTCTGGTCACCATGCTCATGTATGCACGTGTGTGCACGTGGTAAGAGTAAAATAAAAAATACACTTGAATATGCGTATTTTTTAATACTTTTGGATTAAATACTTTAATATTTAGTATATTAAAATATATATACATTGTGTAGACAAGATGATTTTGTCATTACGCTCATGCATTCACATGCGCACGCGTGCAATGATAAAATTTGAATGAACTTGGTATACTTCTGGTTAAACGTTGTTAAAGTCTCAAATGCATAGAGTTTGTTTTATTTAATGAAGCTTACATGGAATATGGCACCAAAAGGGAGTTGGGGAGCGTTTGGGGAACATCTGTAACGGTTCCCGTTACAATTAGCACTAGTTTTCATGGCGGTTAAATTTTCGTGCTTTTCAAGGTATGAAGAAACCCAAGAATTTATGTCCACCGCAAAATGCATTTTTAAACATATATCAATAATGGACAATTCTTAAACCACAAAATCAAATCCCCATGAAGGAAAATGTTTCTCTTAAAACACGAAAATTTGACCCCTCGGAAATTTACTCAAAATCAATAGAAACGCAACACCCTAATATTAGGGTGAAAATTATATACGGGATATAAATATGTACCAAAAAAGTTAGGCCATCTTTTACTTTGCTAAATCAGTTAATTAACGGTTGAATGATTTTCATTCCATTACTTGACGTTACTTTTAACCCTCTTAACAGAAATAAAAATTTTGCAATTTTAATTAAAATTTTAACAATATTTTTTATTTTCAAGGTTTTGTAGCTGTTAATCGGGAGATGCATTTGCAAGAAAGAAGAAGTACCACACTGGAATATTTAACCTCGAAATAGAAATAGCAGTAAAATACGCAATGCTTAAGGAATTAAGCCGTTACAAACGAACACCCACTTTAAGACTCACCATTCCGAATTGTGAACCCCCCCCCCCCCTGCATGCTTTTCATCAGTGCACCAATGTGCTTTCTTAAGAATAATTAATCGTTCCAGGTAATTGAGATATGGTTCAGATATTTTTTTCTGTGTTTTACTTTGCTAGAGCGCTAACTTGCCTATCTTTTTAAAAGATAAGCTTGTTTTTCTAAACATTACCTCCTATATTTTTGGATAGGCTCTGTAGGAAATAATTCTCTTCTTTACTTTGAATTTCCGCAAGTTTCCCTCCTAGAGCATCGCAGGATGACTGCAATTTATTTAAAATTTCATATAAAACCATATGTGTTAAAAATCAATATACATGTATATTTTTTTGAAATTCTTTTAACAGCTTGAGAATGACAAAACAGAAATGACGTTTGCTTCTCTGGCCGTTGACGTGGGGTTGTAAAATGTATAAAATATAATATCAATGTTTGTTTATTTTTGTCTGAATTTTAAAGAACCTATTCACATAAAAAATTCCAGCAATTAAGTTATGCATGTATCCTTTACCTGTGCAGTATCCCAACTTTTTCTAGCCGTGCTTATCAGATATTGTGAAGTTCCAAAACACGATCCCTGAAGTATTTCTTTAATATGAAAATAATCATATGTCACATAGGTACAATAATATTCTGATACAAGAGATAACTCTTAATCAGACAAAATGAATTTTTTAAAAAGTTTTCAAGTTAAATTGCCTTTTTTGTTCAATTTTCCCCCGAAAGCTATGCTGATATTGTTTGCAATTTACTTATCAAATGCATTGGGGCATAACCAATAAAGCAACATTTTATATAATATAATTAAAAAGAAGGAAACGTAATTCAGCAAACTCCAACTTAGTCTTAAATATCAGTTACTTTGCAGCAGAAATACATATATTGAGTATTTGGATTATACTTACTGACAGAGAAACTTTCTGAATACAAATAAATCTGACAGAGAAACTCTCTGAATACAAATAATTTGACAGAGAAACTCTCTGAATACAAATTAATCTTAAGAATGCCTTGCAAATATTTACAAATCAGGGGTTTGATTTTGCTGAAATTCAAAATATTTTTTTTATAATATCTGTAGTAAACATATTACTAAAATAAACAAATTCCGGCAGGATTACATGTAGCCTTATTTAGTCAGCATAAACTCTAATCTAATAAATTACAAGTAGTAGTAAGAATCGGAGTACGCAATAACCAGAATCAAAGTTATGAAAGAAAAAGATCGAATATTTGAATTATGATAAAAATAGTACTGACTGTTATTACAATCACTGTAAAATACGTACCTGTGCCAAGGATCGTATACTGCTTGTAACCTGACATAGAACTGAAACCACTGATGTCACCAGTGGCTGTTATACAACTTTTTGTCAGCTTGTTGTAGAAAAATGAACAGCAGCCGTACTGTGCTAAACATTTATCACCACATCTTGCCAAAGTCACTATACCTTTGTTATCAAATAAAATATTTGCTGGAGTTGGAATCATATTGTCTTTTCCTACCATTCTTACAAAGCGTGTTTCTTTTGGATCAAAATATGTTTTTCCCTTGCATAGCAATGTTCCAATTATCAAAATCCGAGATATAATATGCATTTTCCTATGTTTATGGATGGAGAGTATTTGTAAGTATAAACTGGAAATCTTCCACATCATGTGGTTTATTTCTTTTGTAACTTACATGTTCATTTTTATGGTATTTAGACATTAATTGCATTTTAATGCTGTACAAATATGCATAGAATTCCTTTATGTAATGTTGTGTACACATTTGGATGTGCTATATTTGTGCTACCATTACGACTACAATGCTGTCATTTGATTTCAAATCACGCATGTTTAATAAAGGTTTGAGTATTTTAAATAGGATTTATAGATATTCGAACTGCCTTAAATACATAGACAATTCCCAGTTTATTAAGTTCATTTTGCATGTCTCGGATTACAGTGTAAATATCATATTCTTTAATATTTCCTCCAAGCTTGATTTTAGTAACTTATTTTTTTGTCCCTTTAATTCTAAAAATATATCATAATTTACTAATTTCCCTCATAGGCATTCTTCAAGTTCAAAATACTCAAGATTGTTAAAGACCTAGTAACTTGTAGCAACACTTTTTACTTTCTACTACATCTAGCCTTGCTTTATGAAATCTCAGCACCTCTACCCTATAACACAAATACTTCAAAAAGTGATCTATGAAAAATACCTATTAAAAATACATATTTTTAAACAGAGCATATATAAGACACGGACACTGGTAATTCAAAAGGAGGGACCAGGTTCCGTGGAGTAGAAAGCGCCCCTGTCGACCCGTCGCACCTGCCTTGAATCCTACTTATTAATCAGTTAGATGGAATATTAACATCAGTGACGACCAATAAGTGTCAGTATTCGTCGTTTCCACCGCTGAATCAAACTTAAAATAAAAATAAAGGCCTAGCAAATAGCATGACATTTTCAGAAAATATACGACCCAGTGATAGGTTTTACTTGCTAACAAGGTCATTATAACTACTTAAGAATTTTCGAATTACAGTATTCCTGTCTTAGTTTAAAAAAAATCAAACAAAATGAATTTTTAAAAAAGTTTAAATGCCTATTTTCCTCTTCCTTGCCTTCAGACGTTTACTGGTTCATTCTTATGATTTAATTTAATTAAAGGTATGTAGTGGAAAACAAAAGATACATCTTGATTTTTGCTGACATGAGTTTTGTTAAGCCTTATAATATCATTCCATACAACATACAAATTTAAGGGTCTCATTGCCTGTATACATTTCCTAACAATGTGTACCTGAAATCAAAAACTCGCCAGAATTACAATACATTAATAACCTGAGAACCTAGGTAATAATAAACATGAAGAAAAACTTCGCTTGTCCTTGATGGTTCGCCAAAATAACTTTTTGCTGCTCTTGATACTTTAGATTTTTTCCGCAGTTATCTGGGTTGAAAATAAACAGTAATAAAACAAAAATTATTTTGATTGGTTAAAAAAAAAATTTTCAAACCAAGTTTTTCACCATCCGAGATTGAAGTTAGATTGGGGGTCAACAACTTTCTCCTTGCTAGGCATTAATTTTTCAGTAGATTTAGAAACAATTACTGACACAAATTATAATTTAATTCTACCTAAGGTAAAATCACTAACACCCATTGGTCGAGTCGCTGTTGTAAAAACTCTAATATTACCAAAACTGATTCACTTATTAATTCTCTTCATGCACCTAGCATTGACAAAATTTCGTCATTCAATACTTCCCTCCTAAAATATGTACCAATTTTCTGCGATAAATCGCTTAGATTGCGACTTATATAATCATATACGAGGGTTGAACCAAAAGTAATGTCACAGTGTTCATATCTTTAATATTTGGCATCATATTATCAAATATGTACCAAAAGATGCATGAAAATAAATCTAATCAAAATTGAAAATTTCGTTTAATGATATTTATTTGAACTAATTTTATAAATGTTAAACAGATAAAACATAAGGGGTGTCGCCTCGTCACAACCGCACTTCGCGTTTTAAAGTGTACATTGTTAGAATAAAAAAATGCATACACATTAAGAATACGAGGGCCGTTCAAAAATTTTGCGGACTGTGCTATTATTTACTCTTACAGACGTCATATAGTTATGAAATTTTTCAAAATAATCATCTTACAGTGGCTGCAACGTTATTGTTGACAACGTACACACACGATCACATTACACGAACGATTCTGCACGATTAACGCACGATAAAACTTGTTACAGGAATGATCCTTCATGTACACGATTCTACACGTTACACGATCTTACACGATTGCTAACGCAAACGCACGATTCTTCACGAAAAATGGTTCAAAAGAATGATTACTTTCAAAACGAAAAAAGTCTCAATACATATTTTAAGGTTCAAATAATTATTTTTAATATTTCATTGACCGAAAAAGAAAAACTGTAAAAAATAGAATTGGATGTTTCTGGAAGTACATCTATGTATGACTTATCAATTATTTTAGATTAAAAGAATTTATTTATTAACCTATGTACGACTTATCAATAATCTTAGATTAAAATTATTATTTACGTGAATCTCCAACTAAAGAAGACTGAATTTTACCCTTCAACATATAGAAGATTTACAGGTAGGCGGACAGTTAATTTTGATTGATTTGATTTCTTTATGTAAAGTAAGGGGGATAAGATTGAAAAAAGGTATTAGAATGAATTTATTCATAAGATCTATGTAAATCGATGTTTCCATTTTTATTCTGTGAAATTCAACATTTATTGTAAAATTCATTTTTTTCATTCAGAAAATACAATTTAAAATGATTGAAAGTATGCTCCGTAGAGGAGCACCAATAAAGGAAACTTTGACAATAATGTTGCGTAAAAGAACATTCGCCGACTAAATATTAGTGTAAGTATTGTAAATTGTTTATTTATTTGTAAAAATATCCAGTTTTGATGCATGCCTTTAAAAAAGATATGTTGACCATAATTAATTTTCAGTAAACATAATGAACATAAAAAAAAATCATTGATCTTAGTACGTTTATCACAAAAAGTCACGCTTTTTGCATTGATAAGAACATAACATTGTACGACTTACTATTTTAATTATTCACATCTCTAATTAGTTCATTCCGTTTTTAATTATGTAAGTCGCGCTTCATTTATTTTATTTTGGTTTAGAAAAAACAAACAATCGAAATGCATATTAATCAAAAACATTTCAATAAAAACTTACAAAACGAAATTTACACGTTTCTTAACGCATAACGATTAAAATCGCACACGATTGAGTCCGATACACGCACGATCTCGCACATTACATTAACGATCACGCACGATACACGAACGATTCTACACGATTGGTTTGTCAACAATAACGTTGCAGTCACTGTAAAGATTCCAAGAAATTTTAAGCAAATTTTTTGTATTTTAAAAAAATTCTACTAAAATTATCGGTATGTTGATATCGCTGATGGAGAGGTACGCAGCATGATAAAAAATTTGAAGCAAAGGCATATAGAATCCAAAATGTAACTCATTAATTTTCTATAAATCGCGATATTTTTCGATTATTTTCTTAAACGTATCTCTAAATTGTTCTATTATTACGCATTTCGATTTCTGACGTTATATCTAAAGTACGAACAGAAATAAACTGATTTTTCACTGATGCGATTCCGTGAAAACGACTGTGAAAATGACGTCTCCCTAATTGACGGCGCACCACACTTTTGTTAAATTATGAGTAATGCTTAAGATATAACCAACATAGAATCAAAATATGATTAATAAAACATGAAGTACACTAGTGTATTCTTGACATTCGTCCACAAATAGCAAATTGAAATTTAGACCGTTAGACCTCTGTAAAATGGTTATACGGGAGGACGGGAAGATTATCGACGAAAACTTTATACGGCCTGTAAAGAACGTTCTCGAGAGTCACCAATATCACGCCATACCTCATAAATACCTGCAGTTTTGTTTTAAACAAAAAATAGTATTCTTTACTTGTTTAATGAATATTAAGCTTGACAAGAAATATTGTTTGGATGTTGAGTATATAAGGTAACTCAAACTGTACAGGTTCTCTTGGGAAAATGTTGAGAAAATGAAAGCTCCATTATGATAACATATTTCTATGGAACGCCAACACTGCCTTATAGCATACAACTATGCATTTATTATGTCAATTTATCATTGCTTGATGTGAACATATCTTTACTTTATGTCAATTTTTTATGAGATTATGTAAAAATATCTTTACATCATGTCAATGCTGCATTACATGAAGTAAATACATCCTTTCATTATGTCAGCACTTCATAACTTGAAGTCGAAAATTCATTATGTGAAGTGATAATATGTTTACATTGTGTTAAAACTTTATTACGTGAAATGAATGTTTCTTTACATCATTTCATTTCTTTAATATAAGAGGTCAAAATTGCATTACGTCAAGTGAATTGTGTTTTATAATTAAACTTATCATTACATGAAGTCAAAAATCCATTCCTTTTTGAGAGTGTATATTTCTCTTATATCAAAGCATTATTACATGATATGGGTTTTTCTTTATTTTTATGGCGAGAGCATCATGATGTAAGGTGAACACATCTTACTAGGTAAACTTTTCTCAGTGTCAACTACTTTTAGTACCAATTCTTATACTACATTTTCGGTACATTTCTAACAGTGGGGGGGGGGGGGGGCAACCAGGCTTTCAATTAACATTTCCTATAGTGTAAGTTAGGTTGGGGAAAAAAGTGGGGGGGGGCAGCCCCCCCCCCCCCCTGCCCCCCGGATACTACGCCCTTGTGTTGATTCCAAAAGTGCATTACCTGATGTAAAAATACATTTACAATTTCTCAAAGCTGTATATTTGGTATAAAATGAATGTTGACGACCGTGTTTTTATGACTGGTAAGAGGGGGGGGGGGGGTCCTGATTGATTAGGAAGAATTACAGACACAAAATATCAGCCCCCCCTCTT